GGGCTGATCTGGACACACACACACACACACACACACACACACACACACAATAAATAAACTTTTTTTTAAAAAAAAAACCTGAATTTAAAAAAAAAAGATTATTTATAGACTTAAGCTACAACCATTTTAACACTGTGTATCCTAGCCTCATCTAGGCCTTAGAGGACGCCTTAGCACGAGGCCTTAGAGGAAGGCCACGTGGTTCTTCAAATGGCATGGGATCTTGTACATTGGTATGTGTCCTTTGTGGGAATTTGAGCTCTGAGAAGTGTCAGAGAACCTCCCATAACAAGAGGCCACTGTGAGTCTGGACAAAGATGAGGAGAGCAGCTTCCACAAGGGACTGGAGGTCAGAGGCCCTTTTCCCTTTTTCTGGCTCCATTGGTCTTTCTGATTCTTATGGGTTTCTGAAACCAGTAATTTTTTTTTTTTTCCAGAACTGGGGATTAAACTCAGGGCCTTGCGCTTGCCTAGCATGAGCTTATTCTACTGAGCCATTTCCCCGGCCCTCTTATGGGTTTCTGAGATGCAAGTACCGTCACACGGAAAGTTCCATGCAATGTGAGAGAAGAGCAATTTGGTGTTGAAATTAGTTTTTATACACACACTGAAAATGGGGATATTACCTATATTGGGGAGCTGAGAATTAAGTGAGATAATGACACAAGACTTAGCAGTCTGGCACCTAGTAAGAGATCAACAAATGTCTGCTATTGATATTCTTATAGGTAGTGTAGCTTTTCCACATTTACTAATCAGAGATGGCTGATTTCCTACCCCCCCTCCCCACATATGACATACTGGTTTTTGGAGGGGTTGGAGTTGTGATGGCTGATAATAGGTTTTTGATGTGTCACAGCAGAGAAACAGGCAGAAGAAAAAAGAGAAAGGGGCTATATTATCTTTGAGGACATGGAGAGAATCTAGAGAACATATGGGATTCTCTGAGTTGGAACAAAGGGAGGCTGAGGCTTTGGGCCTTTTGTCAGGGGTGGAATCTGAGGGAGATGTTTAGATATACCTAAGGAGCTGACTGGGGTCTTCCCTGAGGCTGCAGGGAAAGGTGAAAGGAAGGTGCACCCTGGGCTAAGCTGGAGTAGGGGGGAGGTAGTCTTAGGGAAGATAAGCCATTGTTTGAAGGGCTTCAGCATATTAGATGACCACCATGACAATTTAGCAATTTATACTAGGGCCAGAACCTATCAATGACCACTTCCCTTAAAGAGCAAGGGCAACTTTAGGGCTGTGGTCCTTTGTGGATATGCTTTGGGTAGCACAAGTAGGGAGACAGTTATGGACCTGGATGCCTGAACTCATCCACAGCCAGCCTCCACCCTTAACAAGCTTACTGTAAAAAACAGCCAACACAACAGTGCCTAAAGGAAGACAGAAGTCCTTTTCCAGCTGGCCTTCCTCAGAAGAAAGCCCTGTGGCTTAGAGTCCTCCTTCAGCCCAGTCCCCACCCACCCACCCAAGAAATAAGCCTTGTCACTGCTGGGGCCTTGTCCTGTCAGCCCTTCCCTTCCTCCTTCCTCCAGGCCTCTTAGGGAGTGTTTGGGTGCCTGGTTCTCTATTTTCTACACCTGCACACCCTCTAGTGGGGCTGTTCTGTAAAGTCAAGGTGAATATAAGGAGAGGGAGTGGTAGGCAGCAGGCAGGACCCTGGACCCTCTTCCCTTCTCCAAAAATTGAGATCTGAAGATTTGTCCTGACCTAGCCCACTAGAACTGGGCTAACTGGGGCTTCTTTTTCAACCCCAGGGCTGAGAGGAAGTTAGGTACAATGCCACTTGCTAAAAAAGACACCAAATTTACAACTGCCCCCCTCATCAGTCAAAGACAGCTCTTTCAGCTAAAGGTGGTAATAATAATAATAATAATAATAATAACCATTTATTAACCATTTACTGGAGCCCTTATTCACTGTTACTACTTTAAGCACTTTAGTTCATTTAATTCTCACACTATTCCTCAGAAACAGCATTGGCAACTCTCTCTTTCCCCATCCCACCGTTCTTCTTCCTTTCCTTTTTTTTTTCTTTTTGTGGTGCTAGGGACTGAACCAAGGGTCTTCACACTGAACTGCAACCCCAGCTCCTTTTTTAAAGTTACGAGACAGCGCTTCACTATGCTGTTAAACTGGACTCAAACTCACCTCAGCCTCCAGAGTGCCGGGATGATATTCCTTTCTTCTAGGTGAGAGACCTGGACCTCATGTAGAAGTTCACTGCTGTACGCAGTCCTGTGCGATGGCAGGGAGCTCAGCTCTAGAGCCCGGACACCTACCTTTACCATCCTAGTTCTACCACTTATCCGCTCTGTGATTTGAGCTCACATAACAGAACCTCCATGACTCAGTATTCTAATAAAATAGGCATGAGGATAGTGTTACCTTCTTAGGGTAGTTGTAAGGATTAGTGAGTTAGTGTGTGCTAAGTGCCTGTGTGCTCGGATTAAATAATGGGCCCATGTCTCAGCTGGAGAGGAGGAATAGGAGTCAAATGTGCACACTGCTGAGGATCATGGTTCATCACTGTGTAGTGCTGCCTCTCTACAGCCCTCCAGCTCCAAAGTCCTAGGTCCTCAGGAGCCCCAGCTGTCGCTGACATGGGGATGACAAGTGCCTCCTCTGATGAGCCAGGGATTCCTGAGTCATGGGAGGGAGTGAAGACTCCGGAACTGCTGGTGGACTGACTGGGCCTTTTTCCTTGGAGGAGAAAGGAGCTCGGTAGGGAGGCTGGGGTGTACCCTACTTGCAGGAAGCTTGGCCAGTACTTATTAGAATTGTGCTCCCAAAGCTCAAATACTCTCAATGTGGCAGCTAACACAATTGCTGGGAAATTGATAACAGTATAGAGGAAACACAGCTACCTCCTAAGTGGTCATGGCAGTGACAGACACCATCAGGCATGACTCCCCGGAGTGGTGATGTTCATTCAACCTGAGTCTTTAAAGATGGCAGGAAGTTATGAAGTGAGGGGAAGGACTTTCCAGACAGAAGGCATGATGTGTAGAGAGAGCTACAAACAGCATGTGGGAAGAAAGCACATTTGAAGTGGGAAGAAACAAAGACTGCAGAGATGCTCGAAATTGAGAGATCTTCGTGAAGTCTGTTAAATACCTTGGAGTTTCTTTGGTTGAAAATAGAGATCCAGTACTCTGGGGATATAGCTCAGAGTGTGGTGCTTGCCTGGAGAGTGTGAGGTCCTGAGTTTGGTTCCTGCCACCCCCTCAAAAGAAAAAAATAGAGAGCAAATGAATATATATATATATATATATATATATATATATATATTTTTTTTTTTTTTTTTCCAAGCTAACAGCTAACATTAGTACCTATCTCATAGGGCTATACCAGGACTCGGTGAGATGATCCATGTGAAGACTTAAATGACACCTAGAAAATGCTCAATAAATTTTAGCATTGCTGCTGCTGCTGTGGCTATGTCCTACTAGGAAGAGTAACTGCAAAGTGGCAGACCACCAAGGTGGCACATAGTGTAGGAGCAGCTCGGCCACATGGCTGGGGACCAGGACGAGCCTTATGCAGAAATCCAGTAGGTCAGATTTGTGTGACTGCTGGAGCATAAAACCAAGCTCTGCGGCGTGGCTCACAAGCACTAGGTACTCTGGCCCCAGCTGGCTTTTCTGTTTCTTACACTGGGCTCCAGCCATGGTTTCTCCTACTTTTCAAATATATTCATCCTAGCTCTTTGGCCTTGCTGTTTTCACTGTCTAGAATGCCTTTTGGATGCATCTTCTAAAGACCGTACTTTTGTGTTGTAGAATTCTTCCTTTGTTTCTTCCTTTTTCTTTTCTTTGTTACCTGGAATCAAACTCAGGACCTTGTACTTGCCAGGCAGCTGCTGTGCCAATGAGCTATATCCCCAGCATTGTCACAGAATTATTTCAAATGTCATCTCTTCTGAGAGGCCTTTCCTGAACCCCAGCACATTGATCTTATGACCAAACACAATGGCCTTATTTTCTTTCATGCTTTATTGCTCCCTATCCCTTACGGGACATGAACTGTGTAAGGGAACAGGCTGTGTCTCTCTTGTTCACTATTGTGTCCCTAGGTGCTCGGACACTGGAGCACTTTAATAAATGTTCGCTAGAAAAATGAAAGGCCTAAAACCATCTCTATTAGAGATTCAGTCCTTCTGAACTACTCCGGGCAGAGGTAGCCTATCAAGCTGTGATCAACAATTAGCACAGTGCAGTGGATTGAGTGAACTGAACACTTCATGCCAGGACCATCTGTGGACTGAAGAGAACAGATTTTGTGAAGCAAAGTAAGTTCTGATGGCCCAAGGTGATGTCTGTTACACAGCTGGTCAGAGAGCTGGTGCAGGACTGTGGGTTCCAGACAGGCAGTAGGTATGGAAGAGAAAGGGGCTGGGAGAACTCAGAGGCATGGTCTACCAGAAGGATGCTAGGGGCGTCACAAGATCAGGTCTGGTCTTCCTTCCTTCAGGGTCCTCCAATTTAGTTTTTTGTATTTTCTTCAAAAGAGGTTTTATGTAGTCACACAATACAACGTGCTTAAAAAGAGGTGCACATTTGTATAAAGATGGTCACTGGTCATCATGATAAAATGCAGCTATCAAGAATATTTTCAAACTTATCTTTAAAGCTTTATGTGCAATCTCTCCCAGTTGTTATCTTCCTTTTTCTGGCAATCTTCTCTCACTCCCCTTCCCAGACACTATATTCTTCTGGCTGTCTTTTCTCACTGTCATGACCCTTTCCAGTCTCCTCTGGTGCCTGCTCCAGCCCTCACCTCTAAATGTCTGTTTCCAGAAGGCAGCTCCAGTGAGTCAGTGAGCACTCGGGGCCCTTGTACCTGAACGTTCTCTGCTGGAACACTCTCCCTGCAGGTTGGCTGCCTCATTTCTTTTCAGTCTTTTTTTTTTTTTAAAGGTATTTAGTACAGGGTCAACAGAGTCTCACTGCATAGATCAGACCTGTAGTGATTCTCCTGTTCTCAGCCTCCCAAGCACCAGGATTACAGGCACCTGCCACCATGTCCGGTCTTCTTTCCAGTCTTTTCATGTCACCTTCTTAGTGAGGTCTCTTCACTGCTCCCTTATTTAAAATCTTATTCCCTCCAATCCTCTTCCTTATGTTAATCTTCTGTATGGTGCTTTCTACCAAAACTATGCACTTCTTGTTTAGTACTTATTTCCTCTGACTAGTATGTCAGTTCCAGAACATAAGATTGCTTTTTATTTACTATTTATGGTTTAGAAAAGTGTCTGACACACTATACGCCTTCAAAAATAATTGCTACATGGTCATAATTTTTGGATTTTGCAAGTGTGCATTTAAAAATGTACAGTCTTATAAGTCTCAAAATCCCTATTTATGCTTTAAAACAACAGAAAAGTATCCTCTGTCAGTTCTGTAAGCCAGACGTCTGAGATCAGGATGTTGAGGGCATTATGCTCTCTCTTAAGGTTCTAAGGAAGGATCCTTTCTTGTCTCTTTCAAGTTTTGGTGCCCTCAGGCATTTGATTTCTGGTAGCATAATTTCAATCTCTGATGATGGTCTTCTCTTTTTCTCTCTTATAAGGTCATTTGTCATTGGACTCAGGACCCATTTAATCATGATTACTTAGTGCAGGTAACTGCTGTGGCTTGCCTCATTATAAAGTAAAGCAAGAGACAGAAAATGCACTCAAAAATATTTCTTGAATTAGTACCCTGAAGGAGGGTAGGTGTGGTTTGCAGAGGTGTAACGTCATCATCTGGCTAGAATAGGAAATGTGAGGGTACAGGGGCTCTGGCATAGACCCTGGATGGAGCTGAATTCAAGCAGGCTAGTCACCGCAGTAAAAAGCCGACTCTAAAAGCTAGAGAACTACAACTTCAGCCACGCCCTGCAGCGCCCCGCGCAGCCGCAGACGAAGCCCGGCGAAGTTTGCGCAGCCGCACCAGGAGACGGGTGGGTCCGCGCAGCCGCAGAAAGAGCCGGCCAGTCTCCGGTTTACTCCGTCCCGCGCTATTTCGGCAGCAGGGACCAGGGTGGCCTTGTCCTTGAGCCCTTAACCCAGGCTAGGTGGGCCAGCTCCGCCCCGCCTGCGCCGGGAGCCAGTCTTTCCCGGAGCCGCTGCCGTCATGCTGCTGCCCGTGTTCACCCTGAAACTGCGCCACAAAATCAGCCCTCGCATGGTGGCCGTAGGGCGCTACGACGGGACTCACCCGTGTCTGGCGGCCGCCACCCAAGCGGGCAAGGTAACCGCTCCCTCGCGCAGCGCGGACCCTGGGGACTCACGACCTCCAGGACTGCGCCCCGCGGCCCCGCCCCTCACACGACCCCGCCTCCAGCCCAGGTTGCCTGGCAACCGGGCGGGCAATTTCTGCGCCTCTTCTTCCCACGTTTTTTCTCAGCAGTTTAGATTCTTCCTTTTCCCGTCTCTTCTTCCTTCCTTCCGTCCTTTCCCTTTAGTTTTAAAAAATCAGTCCATATGTGTAGTACATTACTTGGGTTTCGTATGGATAGACACTTTAGGGCTGTTGAAGTCCAGGACAGATAAGGTGCTTAGGAAGAGAAGTCTTCATAAAGAAAAGGGGCTTGGCTGAGATTAGCACTAATAGGAGACCTCAGATTCCAGCCCTATGCCTCTGCTTGTCCCAAGAGACTCCTTCCACTAGTCACACCCTTGACAGAGAAAAGACTACAAACACCCAAAATTAAATTCTCTGTGTGTATGCTGCACATGATCGATTCAGGGCCTCTCACGTGCCAGGAAAGCACTCTTATGCCTGAGTTATAAGCCCAGCTTGTGTTTTTGGTCCTTGTCCATGTGTACATTCAAGTTTTCCCCCATAATTTATTTGCTAAGTGTTAAGTGCTTACTATGTGTCAGGTATTTACTGTAAAGGCACAGAGAATTTTTAATAAAAGTATACTGTTATTCCACACATTGGCCCTATTTATTGATGTAAGTATGCCCAGAAATACAAGGAACAAGAGATTCCAAGGGTAATAATGTTTAACAGGTACGAAGGCTTATTACATTAATTATCTCAGCAAACTTGCTTCAAGGGCTGTAAGCAGAGCATAGGTGTGGGAGATCGTGGCTCTACTGCCTACTGATTTCATGGCCTTTGGCTAGGTACTTAATAATGGTACCTACCATAGGTTTGCTAGGATTAGATGACACATGCAAAGCACTTGGCATATTGAAAGTGGTCACTAGTTATTGGCTGTTATTTTCTTTTTGTGATTCCCACTGTACTCATTAGAAATAGCAGTTCAGAGAGATTTAAAGTAATGTCTGGCGCCACTCAGCTGGAGAGTGGTTGGAAGGAGATTGTAGTACAAGCTGTCCAACCCAGGATGCATTTTATAGCTACTGTTTGTGTGATGATTTATAGTTTTCAGGACCCTATTACTTCATATGATATGCCTTGGGATACACAAATAAGAAATAATGATTCATTTTCATTAAGCATAGTAAAATGAGTAAAGCACTTATTTAGCATAGTGTTGGGTACATGATAATGTTAATTGGTGACTCTGACGAATGCCAAAAAGAAATTCATACTGGTTCTGCTGTAGGAGCCCAGGTATATAATGGGCTAAAATAACCCATTGCTATTTGCTTAGTCCCTAATTTGAGGGCTTACCATGTGCTGAGCATTGTTCTTAGCTCTTCAAGGAGCAATTTTGGTGAATATGATAGACCAATTTCCTACCTTTGGAGCTTACTTTGTTTTTAATGTATTTAGTACAGGGTCTATAGGGTCTCACTACATAGATCAGACTCGTAGTGAACCTCCTGTTTTCAGCCTCCTGAGCGCTGGGATTACAGGCGCATGCCACCACGCCCAGTCTCAATGAGTCTCAGTGTGCCTTGGGGGCAGGGCCAGCATGGTTTGTGGTGCTAGGGATGGAGCCCCAGTCCCTGTGCTCTGCCTAAGCAGCCACTTTAGTCTGATGAGCTATCTGGCCAGCGCTGGAGCTTACATTTGAGAGGGGGAGCCCGATGATTACCAGGAAAAAAAAAAAATCTATCAGTCATCTATCTTTACAGCAGAAACAAAAAAGAGTAAAGGGAGGGGATGATGAGCTCTTGGCAGGTCTCTGACACCATGAGTATTCTGAAGGAAGCCAAGCATGATTGCACAATCCTGTAATTCCAGCAATTGGGAGGCTGAGGCAGGAGGATTGCTGTTGAGTTGGAGGCCAGTGTGGGTTACCTAGTGAGTTCAAAGCCAGCCTGAAGTACATAGCAAGGTTCTGTCAAAAAAAAAAAAAGAAAAGAAAAAAGAAAAAAATGGGGGTGGGAGGAGGAATGGACACACAAACTGCAGATACATGGTATGAGTGCCTTGCAGCAGAGAGATCAGCAAGTGTAAAGGCTTTGGTGTGTCCCAGAACACAAGGGGTGTGTGTGGTTGGAATGCTGAGATGGAGTGATGCAGGCCAGGAGATAGCAGGCGCTGGATCTTGTAGAGCCCACACTGTGGACCATGGTGAAGACCTTCTAATGCTGCAGTGTGTTGGGAAGTGTGAGGGCTTTGATGCGGGGAGCGATGGGACTTGCTTTATGTGATAGATAAAGGAACTGGGACTGGTATGTGGGGGAGGTACCACAGTGGGGTGCTCGCAGATGGGTGTAGGAGTGGAAGCCGGGAATTAGGTCAAGGTTCTGTGGAAGCTCTTACATCAGAGCCTAACCTAGAATGGGGAGGCAGACACTTGACTCAAGGACAGTTTCTGAAAATGGCCTCCCAAAAAGGTCCTGTGTAATTGGATTAGTTGTATTCAGATGTGAAAAAAATTCTGCAGGGTTCTAGCCTCGTCTAGTCTTTTCTCTTGAAACTTAATGAATGGAGAACTTTTCACAATCTGGTAGGCATATAGTTCTTTGAAAAGAAACATTCCCAGTAAGGCCAGACAGAGCCTACTCTTTGACCTCTGGAGCCTGAATCTCTAAAAGCAGACCTTTGTCATTTCATGTGGGATCTTGACTTTGGGCCTGAAGAAGGATACTTTAAAAAGTGTTTTCTTGCAAGATGAACATCGGAGTTTTCCTCTGGGAACATTTTTTTCCCCCCACCAGGGAGCTGGGATGGGTTTACATTGTCAGCAGTATCTCCTCAGCTAGACTAGATATTAGGTGAGCTACAGGCAGTCATATAGGAGTCTAGAAAATAGGCACTGGGAGGGCGACTCCATTTGCTCTGTGACTGAACCTTGCTTTTTCTTTGCCTGGAGGGACAGGTAGGTCTCCCCAGGGACCCTGCTTCAGTGAGCAGAGAGAACAGCAGGGGCCTTCAAAAAAGGAGGAGCCTGACTCCTGAGAGTCCTGTTGTTCTTGGCAAAAATCACCTTCTTTGTGAGGTGTTGAGGTATTTTTCCTCCTGTTCTTTCTCTAGAAGTTTGTAAGAATTGTTTTGCTCAGAACTGTTAGGAAAGAAAGTGTGACGGGGTGGCCAGAGCCCAGCCCGGGACACTGGAGGTTTTGTATTTTATTCCTGTCACAGTCATCAGGCCTCGGAAGGGGCCAGACCTCTGGCCTCATCTGTAAATCAAGTTGAAATGAGATTAAATGGAATCCATGTTTATGAAAGAATGTTGTAAAGTGTCACACAGATGAGAACACGAAAGCAGCATTCAGTCTCTGCATATATTTTCTGCATGTTTCTAGTCACTTCTTTTGAAAATCACCGTGTAGGGAAATGAAACTCCCAACCTCAAAGAACTTGGGGATGAATTTGTGTTCTCTAAAACTAAAGAATGAATTCTAGGAACAACCAATATTAAGAGTAGAACATATTTTTTGGGGAAAGAAAGCTTCTGTCTGAGAGGACAGAGGGGAATGCGAGTGGGTTGCCCAGGAACCTGCCTTTTCTAGGGATTTTTGTAGAGCAAAACCACAAGCTGAGGCAGGTCTAAGGTGGGAGCAATGGAAAACTGTAAGGTGGACATGAGGTGGGACAAAACTACAGTCCACCAATAAGATTACGTGTATAATTGATCAGGTAAAATTGATTAAATCGGGATCAAATGGGGAAGCTAGTCATGCAGCACGTACTGAACAGGGGCTTTTCCTATAGGGAACTGGGTTAGTGGCTCTTCCTGGCCTTTTCAAGAGGCTTGATACCTATGCAGAATATCAATCCCTGAAGTCCATCCCTAGAGAGGCCTGTGGCTGCGTTTGTTCTATCTTTTATCTTGAGGTCTGGCCCACAGAAGAGCTGCCTGTCTCTCCCACAATTGTCAGGTATCTCATCCTCCATACTGGCTCCTTCAAGGACCTAGGCCTGCCTGACTACCTGTATTTCTAACTCAGCTGCCTACAACATGAGTAATAATTTTAAATTAGTACTATTTTGATTTATACTCAAAGTTAGCAAAATTTTCCAGGTAGAAGGGGCCTAAGGGATCTCTAGTCCAGCATTCTCTATCCTTTTTTTATATTGGCCCCATGGAGCCTTTTTTAGTAATGAAAAATTCTCCTATTGAAATTGTAATAACATATACATGTTGTATATCTTAATTGGTACCTTTTGTAGCCTTTAGATTGCCACAAGCCATTTAATATCTAAGAGTTCTCCATCCCAAACCTGTTTACTCTTCTGAGGAGCAGTACTTTCAGCTGGCTCTATGGCAGAGTGGCACATGGCAGGAGCAGTATTCATGGCAGCAGAAAAAAGCAAACGCATTAAAAGCAAAAAGGGAGGAGCGAGCGAGCCTTTCTCCCTCTCTTAAGTTTCGTGCAGATTACCCATCCCAGGTAGGTGTAGCACTCACACCCAGAATCCCAGCATTGGACCAAAAGTCAATCCCAAACTCTAGCATCCTGCCCCATGACTGCATAAGGCTTTGGGAGGACACCTAGACACAAACCATAACAGCATGTAAGGTTCCCTGGTAGGTGACAATTAGATCTTATTCATAACCTGCTTCTTTATCACTGGGTTTCCATGCTGCATAATGACTGAAAGGTGACTGTGTACAGAACTGTCTATCAGTATCTTAAACCTCATAAAAGATTAAAGTAACTTCTTGTTAATGTTGCCATTGGTTTTTTATTTTATTTAT